AGGTGGGGGTTTTTTGTTGTTTGTTGTTTTACTTTCTGCTAGTAATTCTTTTTCACACTGTGGTTTATATTATGTATCTTTAATGTATTATCGTCTATCACGAATGTATATCATATACATAACATCCAGTGTAGAAGCCTTGCAATGATATACTTTTTTTTTTCAGTGTTGGGGATTGAACGCAGCGCCTTGCATCTGCTAGGCAAAATGCTCTGTCACTGAGCCACATCTCCTGCCCCAACAGTATACTTCTTATTGCTACCTTCCTAGTCTGTGCTGTTCTTATCATTGTCTAAGAATTGCTCTTTTAGCTTTAAACAGCTAAGTATTTGTTGAAGTAGTTAAGAATTGAAAAAATGCCTTTTATGTTTACCCACATATGTGCCATTTTCTGTGCTTTCTTTGTATAAATACGAATTCCTTTTATTACCATTTTTCTCTGTTCCTGAAGAACTTCCTTTAACATTTCTTATATTATAAGTCTATTGATGAAAGGTGCTCTCCACTGAGATGTTTTTATTTCATCCTCTCTTTTGAAGGATGTTTCCTCTGGATATGGAATTCTAGGTTAAAGTTTTGTCTATCTGAGATTTATTGAGCTTCTTCAATCAGTTTATGTTTTTATAAGAGTTTGGGGAGTTTTTAATCAGTATTTTTTTAGATATTTTTATGTAATTTTTCCTTCCTATTGAGACTTTAATTACATATAGATGCACATTTGATAATGTGTACAGATCAACTGAAGCTGTTCATTCTTTCAGCTTTGTTGAAAGAATACTTCCATTGCATATGTTTTATGTTTCTGGTTGGGTATATTCTGCTGCCCTGTCTTCAAATTCACTGATCTTTTCTTCTGCAGCATCTAATCTCGGTAAGTTCCATTGGTTCTTTTTTTAAAGCTTTTATTTTTATCTTCATTATATTTGTGTTCCCCTTTAAAATGTATTTTTTCCCTATTAATGAGGATTGAACCAAGGTCCTTGCACTTGCCAGGCAAATGCTGTGCCCCTGAGCTGCAAGCCCAGCCCTCCTTAAACCTTGGAGCATATTTATAACAGCTGTTTGAGGTGCTTGTCTCCTAATTCCATCATCCCTCTCATTTCTGTGATGCAGTTGACTGGTTTTCCTCTTGGTTGCTAATCTCAGTTTCCTGCCTCACCAGGAGAATACTCATTCTGTTCTGCACATTGGAATGTTACCTTGTGGAGTGACTGGATTTTGGGTTTTCCTTTGGAAAGTGCTGAGCGTAAGTGGCGAGCAGCTATTTACTGACAGGTGGACTGGATACTTCAAAAGCTTGTTTTCAGGCAGGGAGGGCCGGTCTGGAACCTTCTGATTCCAGGGTTACACTAGCTCCTTTAGCACACGGCCTTTCTGGGTCTCCGTTGAACGTGTGACCCATTCAGCAACGTTGCTGCTCTCGGGCAGGTGGGACAGCCCCGGCCTTGTGTGACCTCCTGATCTTGGCTCAGTCGCAGCCCTCTGCTGTCTGTCTTGGGCTCAGCTTTGCAGAGAGCTGCACACATGCAGTTGTGGATTCAGCCAGAGACATCCAGGGGGCCCTCTGCACATTTCTGGAATTCTTTCCTTTGCACAGTTCTCTTTGTTATTCTGCCCTGTGAATTCCAGCCACCTCAGAAGTCCGACCCTGATAGCTGTCTCTGCAGTTCAGTGGATGGCGTGCTCCCTCTGGAAACTCTTCTCTGTGCCCTGCTCCAGAAGGTCTCTGGGCAGAGGTCCGGAACGACTCAGGGGCTCCTGTCATCTGATGAGTCACAGTTCTGACCACCTGGGATCAAGGCCTGTCATCATGGGTCTTTGTCGCCATTCCAGCTTTACAGAGGAACATGGCAGGAGGGCTGGTCCTCACCAGGCACTCCATCATGGCCCGAGTGAGGAAGGGTCCCCATGCCGGCTCCTCGTACCTCATGCCTCCCATCCACTCCCTTCTCCAGATGCTGAGCCCAGGGCTCCATCAGCCTTGAAGTCACCTTCCTCTCCCTTGTGGGGTCTCAGAGACCCTGGTCTCTTACTCTCTTAGTTATCTGATCACTTCACTCAAATCCCTGTGTTCCTGTGATTTTTTTTTGGCCCCAGTTAAATTCCCAGTGTTCCAAAGGAGAGGCCCGGTGCTGGTGTCTTTGGGTATCTAATGTGTGAATGGCTCCTGTGTTTCTGACAAGGGAAGCCAGCCAGTTTGAGGAAGGGATTCCAGCGTTCCACGTAAGGTCAACGGATGGAGCAGACTGTTGGTGACTGGAGTTGGGAGCCTGGGGAATTCATCCTGGCTCAGCCCTGGCCCTGTGTGGCTCTCAAGTGGTTCCCAGATCTCTCTGAGCTTCTGTGGCCCCACCGGCCTCACACCCTCGGGGCCAGTGAGATTGTGATGGGTCAGATAGCTTCGTGCCCTGACTGTCCCCTTGTTGGCATCCCCTCTCTGACGCTCCCTGCTTCCGCGTTCTGAGTTCTGCTCTCCTGGCAGTCATGGGGGCCGCGGTTTCTGCTGAGCACTACCTGTGTGTCGGGGAGGACTGGGGACTCCATGCATGGGGTGAGGGGTGGCAACTGGAGCGCCCCTGCCCTCAGGAAGCTTGCAGGCTGATGGGGAAAGAAATATGGTCACACAGCATGTCATTGTAAATGATGGTCAGTTCTTGGGGGGCTAACAGGTGGCCAGGTGAGGAGGGACCAGGGAGGACTCCCTAAGGAAGAGCTGTTTCAGGTTAGCATACGGGAGCAGTAGTCAGGGATTTGAGGGAAGAATGTCCCAGGCAGAGGGGATGATGTGAACTTGAAAGAGACTGGGTATTGGAGAAGGTGAGTGCCCTGGGCCAGCGCGGGAGAGGCCAGCAGGTCCTGGCAGCACATAGGTGAAGGCCCGCTTCATTAGATCAGGGGCTACATGGTGTCCCTTTGGCCCCTGCCGCAGAGAAAGCAGGGCTGTCCCCGGGAGTGCCAGGTTTTTACAGCAGAAATCAATCATGAGAGAGGCCAGTCTAGAGAGGATCCTGGAAAATGTCCTGCAGGGCTGCAGAGGGACAGCAGCTTGCTCGGAGCTCTCTCCCTCTGCCCAGGTCCGCAGCTCTCTGTCCCTATGCCCCAGTCCCTGGAATGTGTGAGGTGGCACCCGGGTGAGGTGGCGGAGGCCCTAACGTTCTGCAGCGGCCTCCCTGGGTGGCTGGCAGACGGTGCTCCTGTCCTGTCCACACTGACCTCCTGCGTGGCCATGGGAAACCTCACAGCCTGTCTGGGCCTTGTTTCCTGGTTTCTAAGAAACACCAGCAGTCGCTCCTGGCGGTTGCCATCCAGGTGCCCCCGTGGCTTTCTGGAGTCTCTCATGGAATCCCTGCGGGCTGTCATCCAGAGGGGCCGTCCCTCTCAGCAGTGGGGTGAGGCAGGGAAAACTGAGGCCAGGAGAGGGTGGTACAGAGGCCAGGACCCGGAAGCCAAAAGGGACAGAGGTAGCATTCAGAGGTGACTGGCCTCACTCCAGTCTCAGCGCGGGTCCCGTGACAGCCTCCTGCCCTGGTGCCCACACTCACACAGGGAGACAGTGGAGAAACCAGAGGTGGGCTCTGGGCAGCAGCATGGGCTGGACTGTGCAGGTTCACTCTGTGGCCTCAGGCGGGGGGCGTGCTATTGGAAGAACCGTCCTTGTACTTGCAGCTGAACTTGGGGGTCACTGAGGTCCTGGGCCTCAGCCAGAGGGAATGTGTGGAAGTATCTGTGGTTCCTAAGTCAAAGTCCAGAGAGTGGGAGCCCAGGTGGCCTTGGGATTTCTTTCTGGGGCTGGTGGGACTTCCTTAAGGGGCCCCAACTGAGAACTCCCACTCGTGGCCTCTGGCCTCCGTGGTAGAGGTGTGCACTGAGCCCCTCTGTGCCCCAGGTAGGGAACACCAGGTCCTGGTGCCCCGGTTCCTACTGCTCGCTTCCTGCATGGCCTTGGGCAAGGCCCTGCATCCTGCCGCTCTGTCCTGAGCTTTCCATCTGGTCACGGCCTTCCATCCTGGGCTCTGAAACAGTGGGCGGAGTCTCTGAGACCCGGCTGGGCACCGTCCTAGGAGCTGGGCGGAACAAGGCTTATGCCTACCCCCAGAGGCAGGAAGTGAAGCCAGGTTCTCCCCAGGCAGTGCTGGAGCCAGGCGTGGGAATGCCAAGCTCTGCTGGTCCTGGGGCCCCCTGGCGAGCACCCCAGCATCCCTCTCCTTTGCCTCTTCCTCTTCCTGCCTTCAGGGAAGGGCATTGCAGAGTTTGCATGACCTCTTAAGGGAAGAGACCTGCCCATTCTTAGTTTCCGTGGGAGTGGGCCAGGTCTGGGGGCTGAGCCACTGGTGATGCTCCGCCCACCACTGTGGACACGACCGCCAGAGGGAGAAATTGCCAGAGTCAGCTCTGGTTCCCCGTGACCCCGGCTTCTACAGAAAACTCAAAAGAGAGGGAGACAAGGCCCCTGGGCAGTGCGACAGGCGTTTCCCCAGACAGCCTCAGGGGACTGCTGCATTTGGCCCACCATGGTGTCAGGCACTGGGTTGAGCACTGTCCCCGAGAACAGCAGTTCCGGTTGGGGTCCACTGGGTACTGCAGAGCCCTTTCCCTGTACCTGCCCCCAGCCTCCCATCCACCCAGCACGTCCTGCCTGTCTGCTTGCTGTCCTTACCTCTGAGCCCGCCTGCCTTTCCAGGAAAAGGGGCTTAGAAGCCACCTTCTAGAAGATGTGCTTGGACCTATAGTAATGAATTCAGACGCCCCGAAGACGGGGCTGGCAGGGGGACAGGTCATCTACGAGGGGGCTGGTCAGTGGCCTCCAGGTAACAGGGTGAGCTGACAGTATTCCTCAAGGAAGCCAGGGAAGGTTCTAGACTCCTGGACTTTCTTAGGCCCAGGGAGTGAGAGCCTTGCTCTCAGTAGACCAGGGTCAGCTGGGCAGAGCTGTCCCGGCTCTGGCACATGGCTGCCTGTGGCCTGAGGGCCCCCGGGGACTGAGAGCGTGCCCCTCTCAGGTGCCGCCCCTGGGTGGGAGCCGCCGGACGATCCAGACACGGGCTCTGAGTGTTCACATCCAGAGGTCACCCCGTCTCCACGCTTCGTGGCAGCGAAGACCCAGACGAACCAGTCGGGGAAAAAAGCTCCGGCCTCCGTGGTCCGCTGTGCCACCCTCTTGCACCGCACCCCTCCAGCAGCCCAAACCCAGACGTTCCGCACTCCAAATTCGGGATCTCCAGCAAGCAAGGCGACCGCAGGTACCAGTGGCCACATCACCCCACACTTCCTCCACCCCCAACCTGCCACAGCCGTGTCTGGGGCCATTGTTCCCCTGCAAGAGCAAGAACAGAGGTCCCATCGTGCTCTGGGACAAACGTGGGGCCCAGCTCTGCCACGGGCTGGCTCTGTGACCATGGCAAGCCACCTAACCTCTCTGAGCCAGGTCCCTTGCCCTAAATAAGAAGGTTGTACAAGACGATTTGCAAACTTTTAAAGTCATAGAGTATTTTCTACCAAATTAAGGCCCAGGGGTCTGTTTTATTCGGCCTGTGTAAGCTTCTACAACTTATTAGTGGCCGGCATTTGAACGTGAGGAGAATTTTGATTTCTAACTGACACTGAGAAGTCAGGCCTGGCTCCTGGGCCCACGTTCCTGCAGGGTAGCAATTGACTGTCTCCTTTGCCCGGGAACACGTGTGCTCCAGCCCGCCATCCCGCCCTCTGCCTCCACCCCCACAGCCCCAGGCAGGGGTCATCTCTCATCGTGTCCACTGTGTTGTCTGTGTTCATCCCGCCCCGTTCATGTCTGTCACCTGCCTGGACCCTGTTGGCATGAGCTTGCACTCTCTGCTTCTCGTACAACTCAGTCTGAGGATGTCCTTTCCCTGTGGAGCTGCTGTCCCTGAAGCAGGCGGCTGATGAGAGCTTCGTCCTCCTGGCCGCCCCGTAGCTGGAACTCCCCATGAAACCCTTGCATGAGACAGAGGCCTGGTAGGGCACTGGGGGACGCCAGCTCCAGTCTTTTCCTGGTCAATGCAAGAAGGCGTCTGGCTCCAGAAGGGTGAACAGGCAGCAGACAGTCCCCAGCGGTCATTCCATCTAGAAAACAAACAAGAACTGCCCTGCCGAGCACCCCTGCCGGGAAGGCTTGAATTCATACCTGCACAGGACCAGCCTCGGCTGCCTGCCTGGCTTGGTGGGAGTTGGGGTGGAGTGGCCATGTGGGGTTCCGGGGACTTCTGGCCCTTCAGTTCCCTTGAGGCCGGAGCCAGCCCCTAAGCATGCAGGTGATCTGAGTGCTCGGATGAATGAGCCACTGGTTTGTGTGGCCGATGACCCAGCTGGGTGAGAGCCGTGCTTGCCTCTGCTCAGGTTCTAGAGGCTGCTCTGGGCAGCGTGTGGTGGTTGATGTTTACAGTGCTTACATCTCCCGAAAGGAGAGGAGTCAGTCACCTCGAAGGCCGTGGGTTTTGGGGACGGTTGTGTTTTGCTACAGTAGTTACAAATTAGTTAGAAGCAGCCAGGTCATGATGATATCATTGGCGGTAGAGGTGGACTCACCTGGATAATGGGATCTTGGCTTTCAGTCTCCATCTGACACTAGAGCTTTGTGGCTGGGACTTTGCACCCAAGTTTCTGCAGAGCACTGCCCACAGGGGCTGATGTGGCATGTGGCATGTGGCAGCTGTTGAAACTCCATGTTTTGAAGCAAGTGTCCAGCAAGCCGGGGGCATGCCTGGACTGCCTCTGTGACTTAGAAGAGTCTTGATGGGATCATTCCTGGGTTTCCCAGCTGGGCAGGCCAGAGGACACCAGGTTGGGAGCAGGAACTGGCAGGGCCTGTGAGGTGGTGCGAGCTGGACGTGGTCACCCCCTCATCCTCCTGGAGTGTGGAGCTCTTGTGTGGGAGAGAACACGCCTGTGCCTGGGACTTGGCTTGGAGCCTCACACACTGGCTTTCCGTCAGAGGCACATGAAGCAGTGCAAATTTTGCACAATTGGTTGAGCAGTAGGGGACTCCCAAGAGTTGGCAACATCCGTTGTGCTGAGTTCCAAACAGATGTTGGTCAGAACAAAACTCCCACGAGGTGGGCACCTGTCCCCTCGCGGACACAAGGGTTAAGGTGGAGAAGGCAATTGCTTCCTCACTCCAGAGCTTCATAAATGGAGGCATGGACTCCCCCGGTGACATCTCACTGCTGTCTTAGAGGGCTGGGAATGCACCCTGGGCCTGAAACTAACAGCCTCTCTCTCTCTCTGCTGTGTTTCTCAGCCTCTCAGAACTATGGGGGGATTAAGGGAGACCACAGCTGAGGAGTGTCTGCACCAGGGCCTGCACAGAGTAGGTGCTCGGTTAGGAGGGCCTCCTTACAGACAGCTGGCAGGTGCTGTCTGAGGTGCTTGGCCCAGGCAGTCTGCAGACACCTCTGAAAGGAGTCTTGTCCCCAGGAGGGAGGCTCCTTGTCGGGGGGAGGGCGGGGAGAGCTGTGCCAGGCTGTGGAGCTACTCTGGCTTCCTTTCCCACCCATCATCCCCATGGTCATTGGAGCCCTGGCACTCACAGCTGAGCACTTGCCTTTCTGGGGTAGGGTGGACAGGATAAGACTGGCATTTCCCAAAATGGGTTCTTAGGTCCCCACTTTGGTGGGCTACTACAGAATCTAGTATGTTTAAAATGGGGTTCCGCGGACCCCTGATGTTCCGTAGGTGCTGAGTTAAGTAAAGGCGAACAGTCTCATTCTGGGAGGACTTCAAGCCTTGGCTGTCCTCTTGAAAGTTCTTTCTCCTTACGAAGGGGACAGGGTCAGCTGACATCCCAGTTGACGTGTGCCCTGAGGCCTTCAGCTCTTGGAGTAGCGGTGTCCCTGTGGTGCCAAGAGTGTCTTGGAAAGCAGGTTCTCTTCCACCGCAGATTCTCTGTTTCGGTGCCTCCTGCAGGTGGGGCGGGGCGGGGCCTGGGGTGTTCCACCTGCCTGCACCCTGTTTCTGCATCGTGGGGTTTTGAAAGAGAACCAGAGAGAGGGCCGGCCACTCAGCAAGCTGCAGCCCACGGGCAGAGATGCCAGAAATCACTCAAGGGTGGCCGGGCCCTGGTCCCCTCCCCTCGGTGAACTGACCCCTCGCTTTCCGTGCCGGCCATGCCCCCTGACCCAGGATGCTCTGCCTGCCGCTGGTGACCACCAGCTTGGGAAACTGGAGTCTGCTGCTTGACCTCCTGCTGTATCAGAGCCGCCCCCAGGAAACAGGCCGCCGTCCTCCCTGCTCCTTCGTGGGGCCGTGGAGTGGGGTCTGGCAGAGGGAGTGGCTGTTGGCAGGTTCAAACGAATTGGTGTCACACATGTGGAACCAAAGATGGGAGACCCAGGCCCACGTGCCATCTGCTCACAGGCTGGATTCCATCTGTGTCCCTGGGCAGCTCACCCCCCACGGTGCCTAGACTTCCTGGGCATGGCCAGGAGGGTCTCCTGAGGCCCCCCTGTGCTGTTCCCCCAGCAGAGAGTCCTGGGCATTCACCCAGCCCCGGGGCCTCCTCCTGCCCTCCCTGGAGACCTCGTGCTGACTGTCCCCATGGTTTTCTGTCCTGTCCCTCTCCCAGCAGAAAGCGCCTTTAGTCGGAGAGTAGAAGGCAAAGCACAAAACCACTTTGAAGAGACCAACAGCAGTTCACAGAACTCCAGCGGTGAGTGTGCCCGTGACTGGCACCACAGCCACCTCCATCCCAGCAACAGGCCCTTATGGGCTGAGTCTTCCTGGTGCATGATGGGTCGGAGCGGGGGAGGCTGGGGCTGGGAAGGGGAGGGACAGCAGGGCCAGGCAGAAGCAGGAGGGGCCTTCTCTTCCAGGGCCACCCTTCTGTGGCTCTTATTTGTCTGCTCCCCGTGGAGAGAGAAACTCCCCCTTCCCAAGACTTGTCAACCAGCCCAGATGGCCTGAGAGAGCCATTGCTGCTTTTAACACTAATGTTGCAGCCGGTTTCTTCCTAGAGAGGCAAAGGGGGTACAGTAGAGAAGGCTCTGAAAGCCAGAGGTCCCAGATTTCACCCCCACTTTGGACCTGGCACTGTCCTAAGGAGGATTCCCTTCCAGCCCCTCCAGCACAGGCTCTTTGCCGTTTCCTGGTGGTGTCTGGCGCCCCCTGTGGACTGCCTCGGGCAGGACCCTGGCAGAGCACCCCAGCCTCTAGCATGGCTGCTGTGGGGTCAGCCTGGCAGGCCACAGGTGGTCACAAGCAGCCTCTGTCCCAGAAAGGCACTGCAGGGACAGCCAGGGCTTAAGGAAACAGGCGTCCCGCCACTGTGGCTTCCCTAGGCTGAGGCACCTGTGGGGACAGGACTCTGTGGTAGCTGGGGACACAGATGGTGATGCAGCCCCGGCCCAGGAGTGAGCCAGCTCCACCGCCTGGCCACTAGCGACTTCAGCCAGTGCCTCCGTTTCTCCCCACTGTGGTGACCTGACGGAGCCGCAGTGAGTGCCCCGGCCAGTGACACACTGAGGCACGTGGGGCTTTTCCTGGTTGTTGGGTTTTTTTGTTTGCTTTGTTTTTTTAGTAAACCAGTGAAGCTTGAGTGCCTAGGGACGGGGCTGGGGTTTTAGATGATGTCACGCACACCACCTCTCCAGGGCAGCCTGTGAGTGGAGGGGTGACTCACCAGGCAGGACTAAGTAGCAGTATGGGACTGCAACAGAGGTCTCCCGATGTGCCCTGGGCTCCCAGCCACGCCACCCTGCACCCCCTGTGCCTCTCGTGCCCTGGAGCTGACTTCACTGTCGGGAATGATGCCGTCATGGGCTGCTGCCGCCGGCAGCCACCATTTATTGAGCGCTTACTATGTGCCTAGCGTGTGTTCGGAGCGTGATGTGCCTCACCCGTTTCCATCCTTACCACATCCCCGTGGGAGGCAGTGAGGAGACTGAGCTCAGGAGAGTTGATCGTAACCCCATGGGCCGCAGACTGTTGCTACTCCCCCATCCTGCCGACAGACCCCGGGAGCACCTTCCGGCACTGCCCCAGGTGGACGGCCACGTGGATGTTCTCTTGTTAGGACTCCTGTGTCCTCACAAAATCCTGGAGGGATGACCCTGCCTGATCTCACCCTGCCCGGAGGCCCCAGCACCCACGGGAAGCCTGCACTCTCTGAAATGTGTGACCCGCTCCATGCCACCACCACCCCATGCTTCCCCCAGATTGTGCACCTGGCTGACGGGTGCTCCCCACTCCTGGGAGCCCCATGCGGCTCACAGGTTAGAAAGAGAAGTCATGGCGGTCACAGAACCGCAGACTGGGAGAGACTCAGCTAAACGGTTTCTCTTTTGCAGAAACTGCAAGTCCCCTGATTCCCAATCCTTCCCCTCTCCTGCAGAGTAAGTGGCCATCCTGTTGGGGGGCTGGAGAGGGCAAGGCAGGGCAGGACTCGGCTGGCCTCCTGCACCCCTGACCTGGGCTTTGGAGACTGGCTTAGGCCACCCTCCTGGGCAGGCGCAGCAGCAGGTGGGAGGCCCCAGGGCCAGTAGACAAGTTTGGACAGGGCAGGGCGGAGCCCTGGCCCCAGGCAGCCTGCCTCTGCCCCTCAACCCTGCCAGGCGTCCCCTCCTGGCCATCAGTGCAGCCTCTGGACACCTCCTTGGAGCTGGCCAGCCACCTCCCCTCTCTGCCTCACTCTTCCACTGTTCTTTTCCCACTTCCTTCCTCTCCTCCTTCCCCTTAGTGCCCTGGAGTGCTGGGGACAGAGCTGGCAGTCCAGGCCCAGGTGCCCTGGCTCCCTTCCGCTGCCTCCTCCTGGCCTCGCCCCACCCCCACCCCGGCCTCCTGCTTCCTCACTGAGCACGTGTCGGCTGCCGGTTTTTTGTTGGTTCATACATTCATTCATTCACTCATTTGTTCACTTGGTGAATGTGACTTCTGTTGTCCCCAGGTAGAGGGCCGGGCTGTGGCACCAGTCATTGTTCTCAGAGAATTCTTGCTCCCTGGATGGGGGCCTCCCCAAGTCCCTCCCAAGTGCCCAGAACAGTGCCTGGCACGCAGTAAGCGCTCAATAAATAGCACTCCACCAGATCCCGTGATCTCCAGCTGCATGTCTTCCTCTCTCCATTGCTCCCTGTGTCCCCAGCCTAGTGCAGGGGAGCAGACAGGCTGGGCCCGGAGCCCTGAGCACAAAGACCCAGCGTATGTTTGGGTCCCCCCAGAAGGTGCCCGGGTGTGTGCTGCCCCTCACGCTGCCCCGTCTCCCCCCAGAGCCCTACACCTGCGGAGCCTGCGGGATCCAGTTCCAGTTCTACAACAACCTGCTGGAGCACATGCAGTCCCACGCAGGTAAGGGCCCCCGCCAACACTGGCTCCTCTCCTGCCCCCTCCTCAGATCCTCAAATGGAAGAGAGAACTGAGGTCCCTGGGAAAGCTGCACTTTCCTGGCCGCCGCAGGATGTGAAAGCCACCCTCGGAGAGCCCTGATCAGCCAGTTGTTTATGACACAGGGTGGTCTGCGCTCTGGGGTCCGCACAGGCCCTGTGGGAGCACCGTTGGGGGAGGGGTACAGAGTCAAAGAAGGCTTCCTGGTTGGGGCCCTGCGCTGATCCTGAAGGCTGAGGAAAAGGTGAGAGTTGAGTGTGGCCTGAGGTCAGCCGAGCAGAGGCCGAGGTGGCTGTGAGGAGCCTCCCGCCCAGGCTGGGCTTCAGCCAGTCTAGGATGCTCCCATGCACTATAACACTGTGTCCTGTAAAACAGTTGCACTCAGAGTCAGACTTGGTGGTGCTTGCCTGTAATCCCAGCTGTTCAAGAGGCTGAGGCAGGAGGAGGCAAGTTTGAGGCCAGCCTGGGCAATTTAGCAAGACGATGTCTTGAAATTACAAAAAAAAAAAAAAAATTTAAAGGGCTGGGAATGTAGGTCCGTGGTAGTGCATGCGAGGTTCAATCCTGGGTACAGGAAAAAAGCAGATGTGGGAGTCACCAGGAGGGCTGCTCCATGCAGCCTCCTAGACCATCCCCTGAACCAGGACCAGTCTGAACCTCTAAAGCGAGTTCAGAGCCACCGCCCCTAGACAGCCTGACGGGCAACGTTGCAAGAGGAAGCACATCCCGGAGGGGGCAGCTGGCTTGGGTCTCTCTGTGCCTCAGGGGAATCCTCCAGGGGCATTAGAAGCCATGTGTGGAAAGCACCCTGCACACGGGGTGGCTCGGTTGATTGGCAGCTGCTGTTGATGCTACTGTCATTGTCGTGGCTATCATTTGTACCCCTCGAAGGTTATAGATCTTTCATATAATCCTCCATGCCGGGCTCAGCCAGCGCAGAACACGGCAGGACAAGGCTCTTAGGGTAGCCGCTGCTCTGCCTTGAGCTCCACTTGTCTTCGTCCCACACGTATTTCTTGGGGATCTGCCATATATCAGGCACTGGTCCGCACGATCTTGGGACTGGGCCATTATTTCTGAGGAGCTCTTTCAAATCAGGTCAGACCTCTTGAGTGGCAGCCAGGACACTTGAGTTCCAGTTCTGCTGCAAGGATGTGCCCTGATGCTGTGTGACCTCAGGCAGGAAACTCTGTCCCCATCCCTAAAATGAGGGTACACAGACCCCAGGTCCCCAGCTGTCAGCTCACACCACCTTCCTGTGTCCCCGGGCCTTCCTCCTGACTTTGCCCTCAGCCTCCCTTTCCTGGCTTGGACACCTCAAGGCACTTGGACTTGCCCCAGGGGAACCAGCATCCCTGAGCTAGTGATGATTGGCAGTCTGTGGGGACCACCTGAACCTGAACGTGCCTGGACCCGAGGCCTACCGCCCTGTACCACCTGGCCTTGGCCACCCTCCACCTCAAAACCCTGGATGCTCCACCCACCCCCTCCTAGCTTCTGGACCTGCTTCTGGAAGCTGAGCTCTAATTAGGGAAGCGTCTATGCCAGAGCTTCCCCACCTCTCAGCAGTTGGAGGACGGGAGGCCATTAGAATGCAAATCGGGGCTGAGCCTGGCGGTGGCCCCGCCTCTCCCGGCATCTCGGCTTGTTTCCGAGGAGTTTCCAGTTGCTTTGTTCTGGTCCGGCGCTGCCAGAGAATGCCTGGCCAGCGAGCCAGGCAGAGCCCGGCTGAATCCCAGCCAGCTGAGTCGGGATTAAAGGATTGGCTCCGGGGAGGGCAATTAAGCGTCATGAGCTGCGCAGTTCACAGCGCCACTGATAAAGAGGATCAGCCTCGAGTAACACCAATCTCATTAAGAGGCTGCTGAATGGCACGGGCTAATTCTCGCTAATAAACTTCCTTTCCCTACTGTAGGAAGCCGGTCCGCCCTGGCGACAGCTCAGAGTGTGTACTGGCAGTAATGATACTGGCGACAGCAGGCATTCAGCGCTCGCTCTCTGGGTGTCTGCGTGGCACTCGGGGCTTTCTGTAGGGCTTTTATCAGCTGGTTGACGTTGTCGGTCCATTTACACAGGCCAAGAACGAGGCTCAGGGGACGTGATCACTGGCCCCCAGTCGCACAGCCCCTAAGTCGGCTTGACATCACTCGAGCTTCTGCTCGATGCCGGGCTTTGTGCTCAGGGTTCTGTGCACGTTCACCTTACCCCTCAGAAGATCCCGAGTCAGTGCCCGTACTAACCCCACTTCACAGAGAGGAGACCCACACACGGAGTGGTCTGTGACTTGCTCCAGGTGATGAGATCACTGTGGTGACTAGACCAGGCTCCCTACCTGAACATGAACTCCAGAGCCCGAGTGCCCAGCCTCCTCACCGGCAGCCACCAGCACACCCTGGGGAGGTTCAGTGGCCACAGGCCTCCCTGCCAGCCCCTTACTGAAGTCCGCTCAGGAGGACCATGGCTGAGGAGGCCCACGGCCTTGCCAGCAACGATGAAGTTGGGAGGTGGCTGCGCCAGGTTTGTGATCCCTCTGAGCTGCTTTACCTCTCCAGGCTTGGCTTTCCTGTCTGTGGCATGAGTTTATCCGTACCCTCCTCAGGGCTGCGTCAGGTTGCAGAAATGGCCTGTGCTCGGAGCTCCACGTCCCAAGCCCAGCAGCGGCCGGGGCCTGTTTTTCCATCACCGTCAGAAGCACAGGTTGCCTGTCTTTCTCATTGAAATGCTTGGGACCAGAAGTGTTTCAGATTTGGGATATTTTGAAATTTGGAATACTTGCATGTCCATGATGAAGTTATCTTGAGGATGAGTGGAAACCTGAGGGTCCCTTTGGCTTTACACATACCTTAGACACAGGCTGAAGGTGACTTATCCTATCTTAACACACTGTGTTTGGCCTGCGACCCATCACCTGGGGTCGGGTGTGGAATTTCCCACTTGGGACGTCATGCTCAGAACCTTTCAGGTTTTGGAGTGTTTTGGATTTTCAGAGTGGGCGTGTTCTGCCTGTTCTGCTTGGTCCTTCTGCAGTGTTCTCTCCAAAAACAACTACTATTCCCCCTTCACACCCAGCCCCTCACGGAAACGCATGGGGCAGGGCCACGTCCAGGTAGCTGCGTGGAGTGAATCTCATTTTCAGTACAAGCCATAAATCACACCCTTCAGAGCTTGGAACCAGACCTAATTTATATCAGAAGGAGTGTCTGTGGGATCTGGAGGAAAACATTTACAAAACATCGACCAGTACTAGATATTGTTGTCAGTTCTACGTCCTGTGTAGAGGCAGAGAGAATCAGCCCTGCAGGGTACCCAGCCCCGGCATTGTGCATGGAGGAGGGGAAACTGAGGCCCAGAGAGTTGAAATGAGAAGTGTCCAGTGGCAGAGTTGGGTTCACATCCGGGGCTTTCCAATCCCTGTGCTCCAGGGAGAAGGTTAACAAGACAGGCTGCTGGTTCCCATGGGGACATTCATTTCCCCTTTGTAAACAGAAGCTCTGTCCATCAAAAGCAATGCATTCCCTCCACCAGGAAAATGCATGGTATTTAGAAAATGAAGAATCAACCATAGTCTCTCTATTTAAAGCTAACCACTATTACCAACTTAATGGGTTTCTTTACACTATTTTAAATTAAAATCAGATTTCCTGAGGCAATTTACATAAATGAAATGGACCACTTTTTTTAAGAGTACGATTCAGTGGGTTTTGACAACTGTATACACTGTTCAGCCACCATCACCATCAAAATATATGACAATACCATCAACCCAGAAAGTTCCCTGGTTCCCCCGCACCCTGGCAATGGAACCCAGAACTAACTACGCTTTCACTATTATTCGTCCTTTCCTGGCATTTTACATATGGAGGTTTCCTGCTCGGTGACAGTAATCACTTTGAATTGGTGAATAGTCTTCCATGGTTTCAATGTGTCACAAGTTCTTTATCCATTCACCGTTGATGGACATGTAGGTCTCCAGTTTGGGGCTATTGCAGATAAAGCTGCTGTGAGCTTGTGCTGTGCAGGAGCCCTTGTGTAGGTGTCTGTTGTAACTCTCGAGTGTCTACTGAGGAGTGGAGACCTGGGTCCTGTGCTGTGTTTAACCGTTTGAGGACTCTCCAAACAGCTTCCTGCAGTGGCTGCAGCATGTTTCCATTCCTGCCAACAGTGCGTGAGGGTCTTGTTCCTCAACTCTCGCGACACTTTCGTTACCTTGCTTTTTGACTAGAGCCATCCTAATGCAAGGGAAACGGTATTTCATTGTGGGTTTGATTTGCATTTCACTGGCGGCTAATGGCGTTGAGCATCTTTTTTGTTGTTGTTGTTTATGGGCTTTTGGGCCATTTGTATGTCTTATGGGGAAGAGATATCTACTCAGATCTTTTGTCAATTTTTTCAGTGTTTTTCATTTTGTTATTTAGTTGTGCAAGTTCTTTGTACATTTAGAGCACCCCTACAGATAGAGGATTTGCAAATAAGTTGTTTTTCCTATTTTGTAGGTTGTCCTTTTGCTTTCTTGATGCTGTCCTTTGAAATACAATTTTTTTTTAGTTTGTTGAAGCCTATTTACCTGTTTTTCTCATCATCTGTGCTTTTGTTATACCTAACAAACCATTGCCTAACCCCAGATCACAAAGGCTGTCTCCTGTATTCCATGTTGAGTTGATTTTTGCATATGGTGTGAGGAAGGGATAAAACTACTTTTTTTCCTTTATTTTGAGATGGAGTCTTACTATATTATCCAGGCTGGCCTCAAATTCATGGCCTCTGTGCCTCCCAAGTTGCTCGGGACCACAGGTGTGCATGACCAGCTAGCTCTTAAAGTGGAAGCTTGTAACACTGATTTTGAACCTAACTTCTTTTTCAGTATTGAATGCTACCGATAAACCCTGTTTATAGACAAATCACACACATTTTGAAATGTTTGTTATGTTCATTAAGTTGAAAACATTTTCCTAATTTCATTTGTTTTTTTTCTTGTGACCCATGAGTTATTTAAATGGATGATGTTTAATATTCCAATAGTTGCAATTTTTCTAAATATCTTTTTATTATTGGCTTCTAATTTGTTATACCAAAGCCAGAAACCAAACTTGATATGATTTTGTATTTTTGCCCCACTCCCTTTTCTGGGAATCCAGTTACACGTACATCAGGTTGTTTGACGTAGTCCGCTAGATTCTTAATGTTTAGTCTTCCAGTTACTAAGAGAAGAGCTGACTTTCTAGTTATGATTGTGCATTTGTCTGGTTTTTCGTTTCTCTGGATTTTTGCTTTATGAGTTTGAAAGCTCTGTTACCTTTTGCGTACACATTCACGATGACTGTGTACTCTTGGAAATTTGGCCTCTTTGTCATCATGCTGGGCCTCCTATTATTGCTGGTCCTGTTATTGCTGTTATTCTCTGAGCTCTGGTCTCCTGTAACATAGCCCACCCCTCCGCTCTCCTTTTGCCCCTGTTCATATGGTGTTTTTATTTAGTCTTTTACTTTGAACTGCTTCCTCTTTATATTTAATGAGGTTTCTTAGAGATAATGTATTGTCAAGCCTTGTTTTTTTAAAGAACCCCTTGAGTTTTCTTTGGGATTTTGAGACATTCGCACTTAGTGTAATTTCAGTCCTGTTGGGTACAGATCTGCCGTCCTTCTCCTGATTCACTGTTCATCTGGTTTGTTCTCTGTTCCTTTTTTCTCTAATTTTCCTACCTTACTTTGGGCTGAGAATTTTTTGATTCCATTTTTTTATCTGCACAATTGACTTATTAACTATAATCTCTGCTTTTATGGTTTTATTTGGGCTTAAACTATCTATGCTGAATTGCCCACAGTCTCTCTCCGTGTTGCTAGAACCTTCCAGGGGTACCTTCTGTTTCCCCGACCTGTCCTGCCCTGTTCCACGGTGTGCCCTTACCTGTGATCTCCTCAGTTCGTGGTCACTGTTTTCCAGTGGGCAGTCAGTCCCCTCTGAAGGTCTTTACAATGCGGAGAGGTTTTGTACTTACCCACAGGCGCAGTGCCCAGCCGTCCTTCAGATTCTTAGTGTCCCTCTCTTTCTTAGCTCGGATGAACTTCCTGTATTTCTTCTAATGAAGTCTGGTTTTTGTCTCTGTCTTAAAAGTCTGTTATTTCACTTTAACTTGTTCCTCGTTTGTCCTTCACTCTCTGGACCCAGGACGCACAGTGGCCCTTTTCTTATAGCACGTCCTTCTCTTGCCTTGGGCTGTGCAGTTCTTGGGGACAAGTCTGCTGCCGTTCTGCTTGTACTCATCTGTACGTGATCCCCACCCCACCCCCCGTAGCTGCTTTCAAGATTTTTTTCTCTTCGTTGGTTTTCAACAACTTGGTCATGATGGGATGATGTGCGTTCGTTGTTTTTTTTTTTTTTTTTTTTAAATTTTTTTTCCTCAGTGGGCATAATCGGAGTTTTTGAATCAAAATTTTTTGTCTTTACCTTTTTTTGAAGAATTTTGACTTGAGAGTTTTGGGCCCCTCCAGTCCCTTTTCCTGGGACCCCCGTTTCTATCTATGTGTGTGGGTATTGAACGGCCTGATTCTGCTCTGGCTCCGTTTGTTTCTGCCAGCCCTTGTCCTCTGGTGTTTGGGATGAGCCTGGTTTTGTCTTCATGTTCACGATCTCTTCTCTGATGGCGTCTGATCTCCTTTCACCTCATGTGCCGTCATTTTCACATGAGCATTTTCCCATTTTCCACTCCCCCCTCATGTTTGTGTTTCTCCTTGTGCCTCTGAGCGCATGCACACGGACAGCCGCTGTCTCTGAGGACTTCACTGGCTGCTCCGTCGTCTCTGGTCTGTTTCTGTTGCCTGGTTTTTCTCCTAGTTAGTTGTACCCACCTACTACTTACTGGATACTTGGTATTGTGCCTTTTACATTGTTGGGACGTCATTGGTTTTTATCTGTTTATTTATATATTGTGGCACTGAGGATTGAACTGAGGGCCTTACTTATGCTAGGGAGGTGCTCTACCGCTGAGCTATACCCGGAGCCCTTTTTATGTATTTTGAGACAGGATCTCACTAAGCTGCTCAGGCTGGCCTTGAATTTGACATCCTCCTGCCCCTGCCTACTCAGTGGCAGATTCAGTGTATTTCTTAAAAGAGGGTTGGATTTGTCTGTCTGCAGTCTAGTCATTAGGATCACCTTTATACTTCTGAGGCTTGTTCTCAAGACAATATGGCAAGCAGGGACCAGCCTTCAGTCTGCGGCACATTTAGTTCCCTGGGTAAGATGGGGACCCTGCCCAGTTCCTCTTGCACTGAAGTCTTTTTCCCACCTGCCTGTCATCTTGTGCAAACCTTTTTTACATACGGACCTCAGAACTTTGTACTTTGTGTCATGTAAGTAGGGCTTTGGTGTTGTTTCATTTATTTAATGAAACTGCTAATAAATATGGCAGAGTGTGGTGACACACACATATCAGCTACCTGGGAGGCTGAGGCAGGAGGATCACAAGTTCAAGGCTAGCCTAGGCAACTTAATGAGACCCTGTCTCAAAATAGAAAAGGGCCGGTAGAGGACTTGCCTGGACTGTGGGAGGCCCTGGGTTCCATCCCGAGTACTGCTCCCCTGCTAAAAAAATCATATTGAAAACACCAAAAAATGTATCCTTTAGTGAAGTGGGAGAGGAGCTGTCTGCGGAGAAGCCAGGTTGACTGGCCTGAGTCCTCATGTGGTTCACCTACCACACAGTCTTGCCTTGTCTGTAAAGGCCAGCCTCTTGCCCTTCAAGGCAACACCCTGTCCCCTTGTGCCCACAGCTGACAACGAAAACAACATCGCCTCCAACCAGTCCCGGTCTCCACCTGCTGTAGTGGAAGAGAAGTGGAAGCCCCAGGCCCAGAGGAACAGCGCCAATAACAGTAGGTCTCCTCCACACGGCAGGAGCCCAGCCCGAGGCCCCGCCAGCCTGAGGCTTCCAGAACACACTTGCACCTCATGCTAGGAATCCTTAACTCAGGACAGGAGGCCCTGGGAGAGGAGGTGATTGTGTTGTGGTCAGAGAGCACCAGCTAGTGCCAGAATTAGGAGCCACCACCTGCCATTTCTGTTGGCTGTTCCTTCCTGCCACTGGCTCCGTCTATGTTATTCACTAAAGGTCCCTGGTTTTCATTGATTCCTACGTTGCGGGTGAGGTTAGTTGTCTTCAACGGTCTGGTTGAATGACACACAGGGCAAGTATGTTGCACATATACCACTCTTTCCACGCCCATGGCAGACATTACTAATCAATTGTGGAACTTTATTCCTGTGAGACCATCACGTTAGAAGTAGCCTGTGCCCCCAGTGTCCATGTGAGATGAACTCTATTTGTCATCCTGTCCTAGATGTTTAGAGAATTATGCTGCTGCCAGGACAAGTACCTTGATGCAGAATTAATCACAGCTCTCTTTGTGTCCCTTGCCAGCCACAACCAGTGGGTTAACCTCCAACAGCATGATCCCGGAGAAGGAGCGGCAGAACATCGCCGAGCGGCTGCTGCGAGTCATGTGCGCCGACCTGGGCGCGCTGAGTGTGGTCAGCGGGAAGGAGTTCCTCAAGCTGGCCCAGACCTTGGTGGACAGCGGCGCCCGCTATGGGGCCTTCTCGGTCACCGAGATTCTGGGCAACTTCAACACGCTGGCCCTCAAGCACCTGCCTCGTATGTACAACCAGGTGAAGGTCAAGGTGACATGCGCCTTGGGCAGCAATGCCTGCCTGGGCATCGGTGTCACCTGCCACTCTCAGAGCGTGGGCCCCGACTCCTGCTACATCCTCACAGCCTACCAGGCCGAGGGCAACCACATCAAGAGCTACGTGCTGGGCGTGAAGGGCGCAGACATTCGTGACAGCGGTGACCTGGTGCACCACTGGGTACAGAACGTACTCTCGGAGTTCGTGATGTCGGAGATCAGGACAGTGTACGTGACGGATTGCCGGGTGAGCGCGTCCGCCTTTTCCAAGGCCGGTATGTGCCTCCGCTGCTCAGCCTGTGCCTTGAACTCGGTGGTGCAGAGCGTGCTGAGCAAGCGGACGCTGCAGGCCCGCAGCATGCACGAGGTCATCGAGCTGCTCAACGTGTGCGAGGACCTGGCGGGCTCCACGGGCCTCGCCAAGGAGACCTTCGGGTCGCTGGAGGAGACCTCGCCGCCGCCCTGCTGGAACTCCGTGACGGACTCGCTGCTTCTGGTGCACGAGCGCTACGAGCAGATCTGCGAGTTCTACAGCCGGGCCAAGAAGATGAACCTCATCCAGAGCCTCAACAAGCACCTGCTCAGCAACCTGGCCGCCATCCTGACGCCCGTGAAGCAGGCGGTGATCGAGTTGAGCAACGAGAGCCAGCCCACCCTGCAGCTGGTGCTGCCCACCTACGTCAGGCTGGAGAAGCTGTTCACGGCCAAGGCCAACGACGCGGGCACCGTCAGCAAGCTGTGCCACCTCTTCCTGGAGGCGCTCAAGGAGAACTTCAAAGTGCACCCGGCCCACAAGGTGGCCATGATCCTGGACCCGCAGCAGAAGCTGCGGCCCGTGCCGCCCTACCAGCACGAGGAGATCATCGGCAAGGTCTGCGAGCTCATCAACGAGGTGAAGGAGTCCTGGGCCGAGGAGGCCGACTTCGAGCCCGCTGCCAAGAAGCCCCGCTCCGCAGCTGGCGAGCACCCCACAGCTCAGGAGGATGATCGGCTGGGGAAGAGCGAGGTGTACGACTACCTGCAGGAGCCCCTCTTCCAGGCCACCCCTGACCTCTTCCAGTACTGGTCTTGCGTGACCCAAAAGCACACAAAACTCGCCAAGCTTGCCTTCTGGCTCCTGGCGGTCCCAGCCGTGGGGGCCAGAAGTGGGTGTGTAAATATGTGTGAGCAGGCCCTCCTGATCAAAAGGAGGCGGCTGCTCAGCCCGGAAGACATGAACAAACTCATGTTTCTGAAATCCAACATGCTTTAAGACTCCGAAACAAAGAAAAAGAGAAGAAAACAGAGAAACGACCGTTAGAAAAAACACACAACACTGTCACAAAGAAAAGGAATTTAAGTTCTAAACACTGTGGACCTCATTATAAACGCCCCCCAGAAACTTAAGTGCTTTTTTCCAGTGTGTGTGTGTGTGCATGTGTGTCCACATCCACACGTGTGTGCGTGTGTCCAAACACACGTGCCCGGGGTGTGGGGGGCCTTGTGCTCATCTGCACATCCAGAGAAGCTTTGCACACGCGTGCACACACATACAATCCTGGTGCATGTGCATGCACCTGCCTGCGGGTGTGTGTGCATTGACTGGGTGTGTCAGGAAAGCCAAGTGACTGGGAAAGAGGGAGAAGTTTCACCTTTTCTCGGGAAGGGGCTCTAAAGACTCCATTTTCAGGTGTGCAGATCAGGAGAAGCTGACGTTTGTGAAATGTTCAGGCAGCTGAGATCTGAATGACTTGATGCTCCCTGTCCTCGCCTGCCCCCACCCAGCCCTCCAGCCCCACCCGCCCCCACCCCGCCCAGCTGCTCTGCCACGGATTCTCCAAACTGCATCAGATGGACAGTTTCTGCACTGGACTTTGTTTCTCGTTCACCTTCAGGGCATTGAGCTGCTGCCTGGGGAGCCCCCTGGGGTGTCTCCAGGCAGCCGCCTTAGAAACACACCTATCTATCTCCCTAAATCAGGAAAAGGAGACTTTAAGAATATAAAGCTGACGTTTTGCTTTTTAATATAAGAGAGGGAAAAAAAGACATTTTTCAGAGAAGTATAGCTAACTGTCTCCACTCAACGTCGTTTTTTTTTTCCTAACATTTTAGCAGTTTTCTCCTCTTTGGGGGGTTTGTTTTGTTTCTTCCGATTTGATTTAGACTCTGCTAGGAGGCACTGAATGTCTAACTTATGTTTCCGAGTTTCGCCCTTTTCGTTCCTCGAGTCACACTGTAAACTAGCTCATCTCAGAGGTACATTCAGTACCCTAAGGTTTTTTTCTGCCTTCCCCCTGCAACCAGTTTTCACCTGTTGGCAGCAAGGTCAAGAGCAAGGTCTTGGCTGAGCTGTCTGCGGACCAGGGGTGGGGGCGGGGTCGCGGGAACCTCAGGCGCGGGGTCTGGTGGAAGCCATAGGGGGCAGCACCTGGCTTAGGGGTTCTGAACATAAGCGGAAGAGCCGCCCCCCTGCTTCGCTGCGCCTGGTACCGCGAGTTCTGACTTCCGTACCCAGAGTGCTCTGCGCTCCCCACCAGGGCCTAACCCTTCCAGCTCAACAGGGACTTCTGCCTTGATCCATGTTCACGTCCACCACACCCCAGACCCACAGCCTCTCCTACTATTTCGGGGTTCTAGGGGGTCCACAGCCCTCCTGGGACCCCAAAGGCACTTCAGCCCTCTACCCAGGACAGTAGTTGAGCGTGGTGCCTTGTAGGTGGATGCACTGGACTTGATGCTGTGAAAGGGTCTTTAGGCCTCTCTGCCAGCCCTCAGCCATGAGCAGTTGTGTTCTCCGCAGTCCAGATGCTGAGGGTGACACAGAGGAAGATCAGCTCTCAACCCCCACCCGCCCCACCTCAGTAGAGCTGATGGTCCCACGTCCCTTCAGTGATCATGGCTCTGGGGCAGCGATGGTCACACTTAAGGCAGAGAATGACCACCTTTGTGGGGGCTACTGGCAAAGGAACCGTCTCCCTTCCTGGGGGTGGCTGCGTGACTCCCCCTCCCAGTAATGAAGCATTACTCAACTGCGAGATACCTCGACTACAAAAGCACTGTACGACAGCCCTGTCCCCTGTCCCCGGCAGGAAGGGAGTCAAGTTGGTCATGACTGAGGGCCCAGATCACCGTCTTTGGGGGCCGAGCCTGTGCACTTTGCCTCTTGAGAACTGGCCCAGCCCTCCCTGCGGCGTCTGGGACATTCTGGAATGGATACAAGCGGGCCATTTCCACATTCGCTCCAGCGAGCCCCAGTCTCAGGAGCCACTCTGCCATCTCTCCTCCTGGAGAAGTTCTCATGATTTCCTCCACATCTGCAGCTCGGATCCTGTCAACAGGAGAGCCTCAGTGGAACAAGAACAGGGAGGTCCAGACAGGAGCTAAGGTCACTTCCTGGAGTGGAAACAGCAGCAGGCTCTTGACCTTCTGGGCTTTCCAGAAGGGGAGCTCTCGGCTGCTGCTGATAGACAGGCGTCTACAGCTGTGCTTGACAGATGTGGCTGGGGCCACAGCCTGGCACTCCTCACCACACCCAAGCTGCCTGCTTTGTGTGGTCAGTGAGAACAGCCTTGGAGCAGAACTGTGCTGGTGGCCCTGTTTGGGGGCCACTGAATTTGAAAGTAAGCATTTCGCTCTCTTGGAAAGCTTCTAGCAAGCCCAAGTGTGCAATTAGAACACTCCACATCAGAGAAAGTCTAAACTCAAGGTATCTAGCCACAGGCTGTCACCTGTCACCTTCTCTCTGGTTCTTTTGCACCTCAGTTCAGTGCTTGGGGCTTAGCTGGCCTCTGCAGGTCTGATGTGAAAGCCACTGTGTCCGCACCAAGCTGTCTCCTGCGGCTGCCTCATCCACATGGATAGCAAAGTGGTAGGTGGTCGTTACTCTCTTGCCAGCTCTGGTTCCCCAGGGACTCCTGTCCCCAGTCCTGCTGCAGCAGACAGCTTAACAAAACCCAAAGATCTCACAGGCTCAACCGCTGGCCCCATGTCTCCAGCAATATCCACCTTACCAAATTCTAGCTCAGCCAAAGGATCCGGGCAGGCGCTCCCAGTTCATCTCCTGGTGCCTGGCCTGGCCCTGACCGTCAGAGAGTCATCTGCCTCCTGATTCGGTGACCATTGCAGGTCTTTCCACCACAGGCCTTTGAGGGCTGGGGAACCGGGAAGCTGGGCCTTTTCTGTCAAGATGGTGGCCTGCTGGCTTGGATCCAGCTTGCCACGAGCCATGTGATTCCCAGGACAGAAATGGCCTCTGTTTGGACGTCCATGGCCCCAAGAGGGGAGGTGGAGAGAATACACCTCCACTTAGCAGGGTTTTCCCCCTCATCTGAAGTCACATTGTCACCAACACAGCCCAAGTGAAGGACCCCAGCATTGTGGTCTCAGATTGGAGTAGACTGGGGCGGTCTCGGGCCCACCAGGAGCTGTGCTGCCATCCTGGTCATGGGTGGATGCACCCGTCCCAGCCTGGTCCTCCTGTGGCTGGTGCCGAGGTTGAACTGCCGGGCCACCATCCCATCTGCTGGGTACCTTCACACTGGGCTGGGGAAAGGACATCGAGGATTCCTGGCAAGAAGGGTGGTCCAGTGGCACAGATGAGAAGTCGCAGGTCTCCGGGACCCTAGGAAGGAGTTGGACACCAGCTGCGTGGGCTGGTCCAGCGTCCCCTCTTTGAGTTCGACCCTGTATCTCTTGCACTTTGATGAAACACCAGGGAAGAATTCTGCAAGTCGTTTTCCACTGTGAAGCTGAACCTCTGCCTTTAGGAGTCCCCTGTTGGTGAGTGAGGCCACCTGTCGCTGGACTTGGGGTGGGCTCCTGGCAGGGTGGGCACCTGGAGAGACGTCAGGGATGCAACACATGCTCTCTGGGGCCACGGGGTCACCAGGAAGGCTCGCAGAGAAGCCTGTACGTGGATGGAGAAGGGAGGCCCGTGAGGCCCAGCAGGGACACCCCCTGACCTTGTCATACCCGTGCTGTTCTCGAAGGGCACGGCTGGCAGCCTGCTGGCCTCGTAGGCCGCACCGAGCTCGGGCTTTTCCCAGGCCTGGGGAGCTTGACAGCCTCTTGTCTGGATGTGTCTGAAGGAGGGCCCCTGGGAAGGCTGCTGGTTTCGATGGGACAGAGAGACGAAGGCTCGTTCTGTGCCCTGGAGATAGTGGATGGGGGCTCCTGTCCCTACCCTGCCAGCCCCAGCCCAGTGGGAGAGCTGGGAAGGACCCCCACTCACTGTGGCTCATGTTTGCTAGGCCAGTTTTGGTGAACCAATGATACAGTGTTTCCCTCTTATGTTTCCCCCCAGGGCGCTCCAGGGCTTCCGGGGATTTTGTTGTTGTAGTTGTTTTTCTTCCTCTCATTTGGGTCTGGCTTTCACCCGCCGAGGCCTGTGGTTTCTGTGCCAGACACACCTGCTCCCGCTGGGACAGGGGGCAACTGTGAGGTCGCGGTCTGACTTAGCCATGCCTCTCCACCACCTCAGGCGTCCTTTAAGGACTGATCCTGTGCAGAAGAGTCGCCAGGTCTGTAGCTGGCCAGTGGCATCACGACCCACAGGGTCCCACCCTCCCAAGCGTCCCACTGGGCATCTTGACTCATCGAACCAAAGTTCCTTAAAGGGGCACAGCCCAGCCTTGTCCACAACCTCAGGGGCCTGGGATTCCCGTGGCGCACCCTGAAATCCCAGTCGGCACAGACTGGGGTCTGAGGCCAGCCGCAGGGAGGGGCTCCTTCCAAACCCAGGCGCTGGCCGCTCTCCACCTGGCCTGGCCGAGGCGGTGGCTTCCCCGTGGTGAGCCAGCTCCTGAACTGCCGTGGGCTGGGACTTGCCAGCCTGGAGAGATCAGGAGCCACGCGGCCTGGCCACGCAGATCCCGATCATCAGGAAACCATTTTGTACAACCACCCCAAGCAGAGATATTTTGTAAGAAGCGTAAATTATTTCCAGTTGTTTTCTGATCCTACCTTTTTCTTTACCCCACACTCCACGTTGGCGATTCGCTCACATCAGGTAAATCTTGAGAAAGCCTTGGTGCCCCCCTGCCCCCACTCAGTAACCACATGCGTGCGCCCTCGTCCCTTCTCAGTAGTGACAGCGTTCTAGGCAATACCATAGACACATCTGACTGTGTCTGTCTCTCCGAGTGCAAGAAACTCAAATCATCTTAAAAAAAAAAAAAGAAAAAAAAAAAACACAAAAAAAATTTACAAAAAAACAAACAAAAAAAAATATCTTTTTTAGGCCAGAGTTTTCTACAGGTATTAATGAATATTTTTCTTAATCCTTATAAGTTTTATGTGTTTAATATTTCTTAATACCGGTAGCATTAATTTATACTTTTGTAGCAACACAATATTTTTATAAACAGCCAGTGCTTGGCTCAAGTCTTCACGGGGGTTTATGCAGGGCCATCTTGGGGACCCTGTGTACCATGTACTGTATTTAAAAAAAAAAAAATACCTAGTGTCACACTTGCTGTGTTGATTAACAAAAGGCGTTGTTGGCGGTCTCCTGTGTCGTTGATGTACATTCGGCGCTTCTCCGAGGAGTCATTGCATGGGGGTTGAGTTGAGGTTCTTGTGATATGTGAACCCCCGAGGCCAATCTTGAGGGTTTATTTAGGATTTTCTGTGTGTCCTTTGGGTTTTTCTTTTCACTTTGTTTTGGTACCGTTTCTCCATTTACAGCCCAAATCAGTTTTCATGATGTTTAAAACTTTTACTGATTGTCAAATGGAGGAAAGGAACAGGAAAAAAAAAAAAAAAAATTTTTACTAAGTAATAAAATTTAAAACTGAGCTGTTTAAATGTTGCTGTTTTTACCTGTCTGTTCTCGTCCGAAAGTGGAACATTCCCAGGGAGAAGAGGAAGGTTCCATCGGGTTCTTTAAGTCACCAAAAGCCCCAGCCCAGGATTCAGTCCCCCGCCCCCCCCCCCCGCCCCTGAATTCTCACCACGCTCTTCCCCGGTGGTTGATACCAAGGCAAAACATCCTTTTCATGGTTAGAGAGGATCAGTTGCTTAAATGAATTCATGTCGGTTGTATTTATGGTTTTACAATAAAACGACCTTTAGGAAGATGTGCTGTGTGATGTTTTCTCTTGGGTTGGGGGTCGGGCCGTGCCATCCAGCAGGACTGCTCTGCTCAGCGTTTTTGCTGCTGTGACTTAAAGACCCAACCAGCACAACTGTAGAGAAGGAGAAGTTTATCTGGGAGCTCACAGTTTCCAAGGTCAGTTTCAGAGGTCAACGGCAGGCTCCATTCCTCTGGGCTGGAGGTGAGGCAGGACATCATGGCAGCAGAGTGTGGTGGAGGGAAGCAGCTCAGGTCGTGGTGATCAGAAGGCAGAGACTGCGCTGGCCACATACATATACAGACCCCCCAAGCCCCGCCCTAATCCCCACCCCTCCAGCCACACCGGCCACTCCAGGGATCCCAGCAGGGATCGATCCCCTGTCACCCAGTCATTCCTCCTCCAAACCTTCTTGCATGGTCTCACACATCTAAACCATAACAAGGACTGAGTGAGGAGGTGGGCCATGGGCAGGTGACCCAGGTGGCAACTTGAGACATGCCAGGGGTGCCACTGAGGCTGAGCATGCCAGCTGTCAATCGGTGAGTCATTGGTGAGCTTCACTGGACCAGCTCTGCTAGTGTCTGATGAATGAGTGGGGGTCATGGCTGAGAAGAGGTGGCCCCATGCCCAAGGCACACACCCGAGTGTGCCAGACCCTATGGGCATTCATGTGGCTCTTGTGCCCCTTTTACCAGCGTCTTAGGCCTCATGGCGCATGTGACGTTGAAACTGTTGTGTGTCACGGTCCGTTTCCTGGAGAAGAGTGTCTCTGGTTTTGGCCCAGTTCCTCATGGCACCTGGGCACTTCTCAGCACCCTCACTGTGAGCTTGGGGACCCGCCCGGGGGCACCTGTCCAGGCCCCAAGTCATTCGTGCTTTTCTTTAGTAACTCAGACCCAAGGCAAGTCAAGAGTGAGAGAGAGAGAGAGATGCTTCCGGAAAACCAGCTGTGGCCCGTGCAGGGCCCGCTGCTGGGTAAAGCTGCCGTCTGATTCTCCAGGTAAGTGAATCACAGGACCCTGCCCGCCCTTGCTTCCTGTCTCCAGGAATGGTCACTGGACTTTAAGAGGATGTGTTACTTGGGTCTCTGAAAAAAATCCCATCAAACCCCTTGTGACTGCTGAGAGGCTCCAGAAGCTGGACCAACCTCCTAAAGAACAGCAGCCCTGCTCTCCACTGTCCTCCTTGGGGGACAGGTGTCCTCCTGCCAGGTGACCTGGACATGCCTGAGCCGTGCAGTGGAAGTTGGAAGCAGGAGCTTCTCTGCATCTCAAATAAGGAGTCTGGAGGCCTGCAGAGGAGCCTCTTGAAGGTCATGGTCAAATAGGGCCAGGGTGTGGCCAGGAGCTCCCAGCCCTTGCAGCCAGCGGGCCAGCCTCTGGGTTTTACAAGATTGTCTTTTAAAAGGCAAAAGAAAGTTGTGTCACTTCACTGAGCAGCCACGTCTATTTTGTAACGAATGTCAGCAGCACCATTAAAAGAAAAGTTGGAGATGAAACTATGGAAGAATCAACTGCATCTTCAGGGAAGGGGCAGCCACTTGCCTGGGAACGATCCCTGGTACCTTCTGAGATGAGCCTGCCGAGCTCTGTGACAGGGTCACACTGCGCCCCCACCCCACCCTGGAGGGAGAGTCAGGATCCCTGAGTTTATTTCATTTTGGTGAAAATAGGTAGCAAGTGACACAGAAAGAAATGGCTCAGGGAGCAGGCAGGTCAGGGATAGGGCTGGTGAACGCCAAGGTGAGGGCCCTCCAAGGGGCATCTTGTCGCCCCCTTGGCTTAAGGATGCAGCCCAGGTTGGCCAGAACCTGCTTTCATGAGAATTGAGAAGGCTGGGTTTTATACGGAAGCTGTTTTTAAATGGTGGTTTCAGAAGTGCACAGAAGTATCTTGTGAGCCCAGTGTCCCTCCCACCGGCAGAAGCCAGCCTACAACAGTAGCGTCCACCCTCTGGTTAAGCATTTGTCCTTCAGGTCACTTCAAAATCCCCCTCTTCAGAGTGGCACCTTCAAAGTCCCATCAGCAGCTGATCCGGTGTGTGAGGCACGTGGGGACACGATGGGCATGACATGTTTGTCAGTGTCAGGCTGAGGAGCCCCCGGTCATTTCTCTTGGAACAGCTGTCTCCCCTTGCTCCTGACCCACCCACTTCTGTCCAGGGAGTCCTGGTCATGAACAAAAACACTGTTCTTCAGGACAGTTCTGTCAGAACCTGGAAGCCACAGCCCTGGAATTGGGAGGAGGGTCTTTGACTGAAGGGGCTGCAGAGCTTCCTGCACCCACCTCTTGCCCCTGGGTCACCCCCTCAACAAGAGACGTGGAACTCCCTCCCTCCTTCCTGATCTCTCCAGAACATGGGCTGAGTCAGCATGAGAGGCAAGCCCTTGACAGAACTGGCCTCTGGCCCTCAGGACACTGGTCCCTCCCCAGAGAAGAGGGGCCCAGCCCTGCCGGCTGTCTGCAGGGTGCCACTAACAGGAGTCAGTCATGAGTCCGATGTTTATAAATCCAGGGTGTAAGTGGAGAGTCCTGGAGGTGTATCTTCTGGTCAGTTGGTCCTGGAGCGGCCCTGGCTGCCCACCTACACCTTCCCAAGCATGCGAGAAGGCAGCCTGCCCAAGGGCTTCCTTAGGAAGCAAGGAATAGTCTCCTTCCAAGGCCAGGGCCAGGGTGAGGATTCCAGGGGACAGGTGCTCAGAATGAGTGGGGGACCAGCCCCAGCACCCAGCTCGGGGCAGCTGGGGATGGGGACGGGGTGATGGCTGAGGGAAAGTGCCAGAGAGGAGTTGGGTCAGTCAGGGACCGGGAATGGTTCAGGCACTTGCTGTGCTCCCTCAGCTCCCTGGGCACACTAGGGCGCCAGTATTTCCTCTGACCCTGGGTCACTCATGACCTCCATCCAACATCTCCCAGAAACAACTGCCCAGAGTTTCATGAAAGCAAAACAGAACAATCCCCTTCTGCACTATGGTGGAGCAGGGGGCCGCGGCTGCACACTTTGCACAGACTGAAGGGGATTCCGATCCACTTCCAACCCATGCACTTTGGACTTCCTGGATGCTAGGTGGGCCACGCCCCACCTGGCTTCTTCCCCTCCCCAACCTCCTCCATCTTGTTCCATTTATGGTGGCAGTGCAGTCAGGACAGGGAATTCCAGCAAGACACCATTTGGTTTTATTTGGACCTGGGTCATCTGCCCCGTCCTGCCCTGGGGGGGACGCCGACCACTCTCTGGTTTGCAGACTGGCCAGCCATCAGTTGGAGTAGCGCAGTAGCTCCTCATCCCCTGTGGACACAGAAAGGCTCAGGAAGGGGCTCCAGGGTGGGGACCTCCAGGGGGTGGGGGAGGGAAAGCCACCTGAATGTGGGGGCAAAAGCATCCACTTGCCGAGTGACAGCCCGGGGCATGCCACAGGATGATGTGAATGTTTTTTTGTTGATTTGCCTTACATACCATTTTGCAATGGGAAAATCAAGGCACAGAAATCTCATGTGGCTCCTGTCCCCAAATAGTCATTATCAGCAGAAACTGCCATTAGCTGAGCACTAATTCTGCCAGGTACTGTGAAGTCTGGGAGGTGGGTATTTTGTCCCATTTTACAAGAGAAAATGGAAGCTCAAATCGCCCTTGGCACACACACCCCCCGCCCCACGGCCAGCCTGAACGTAGCAGCATGAGAATGGGAACCCAGCTCTCCAGCTCCTCGGGCTGCAGCCTCTGAGCATGCCTGAACCTGGCACGGGTAGCACCCTGGGTTTGGCTCATTTTACATTTGGGAAGCTGAGGCCTCAAAAGTGGTGGCCTGCTCACCAGGAATTCAGCTCTGCGGGACCCACCCCCCATCAGGATTCTCACACCTGGACCCTGGCAGCCTGGTGGTCCAGCCCGGCACCCCCCAGGGCCTCCTACCTTCGCCAGGGACGCCGCAGTACTCCTTGCACTCCTTCTCTGAGTAGAACTTGTTGCCGTTGCCTTGGCAACCCCCATAGTTGAAGAGGACGCACTTTCCCTGGACGGCATCAAATGCCCAGAGCTGTTTGAACGCTCTGCAGGGACCAGGAACTATGGGGAGGTTGCAGGCCGCTGTCGGTAGAGAGAGGCATGGTGCTTCAGTGAGACTTGGGACATACAAGGGCTCCGGAGCCAGGGCCCTGCTCAGCTAGAACCCGTGGTCCCTCTTTTACAGATGAGGAAATAGATCCACCTTGGCCAAGGGACATCTCCACCCAAATCCGTATCCTATGGCTTCAGGAGGCTTGCCCTGAAATTCCACCATTGGACACCCTCCCATGGCTCCCTGCTCGTTGGCAAGGGGTCTTCTGGGAGAACGGATGGGTGTGGGGGAATGGAGGCGCAGAGCAGGGGCCACACTCACCCACGGTGCGACATGTCTGCAAACATTCCTTCTCAGAGAGGAAGTTGTTGTCGTTGCCCAAGCAGCCGCCATATTGGAAGGTCTCACAGGCCATGGACGATCCATTGTAGAAATACCTCGGGAACAGGCCCAGGCAGGGACCTGGTGAGTGGGCCAGCTGGCAGGAGTCTGGGAAGGGGCCAAAGAGCAGCACTTACTGAGTGCTTACTGGATACCTGTTACCAAGCAGGGCACTTAGTCGGCAACATCTCTTGTAAATTTTCCCCTCATGGGTAAAGGACAGATCATCGGCTCATTTTATAGATGAAGCAACTGACTCTCAAGAAAGGCGAAGTGACTCACCCAGGGTTACACAGAACTAAGGTCCCAAGCCAGGTCTGTTGGACTCCAAAACCAGTGCTCATTGACTCCATCACATGGGAGTTGACACCTGGTGACCCCCTGTGTTGGTCTTATCTGCCCAGAGAGTCTGTGGTGGCAGGAGTGTGATACATTTCCACCCCATACTGGCCAGTCTGATCCCTTCACTGCGGTGCCACCCCACACCTTTGCTCTCATTGTCCCTGACTCTGGGGTGTCTTCCACAGGACCGGGGGGCTTGCCTCTACACAGCATGAATTTCCCTTGGTCTAGGAAGTCCCCCTGACCTCCGCACCCCAGTATCCTCTGAGCTTCCTTAGCCCTTTGCCGATCCTCTCTTTGGGATCCATCAATTTCTCCCTTGGATGCCCCCCTCCCACTAAAGCAGAACATTCAAGAAGACAAGAGTGGTTTGTCTCTGAGACCCCAGCGCCCAGCACAGGGCCTGATATCTGCCGAGTGAATTGAAGACGGAGTCCATTGTGAGCACTGTCAAGTTCACCAGGCATCCTCAAGCTCTTCTCCTGACTTCTACGGAAGCCCTGATGGTCAGCCCACTGGCTACTATCCCATCACAGAGGCCCACTAGCTACTATCCCACCTGGAGGCCACCCTGTGACACAGGCAGAACAAGAGCTCACGTCTACCATGGAGCTGAGGACCAACCTTGTGTTCCTCCCGTCTGCTACAACCCTACAATAGTACAGAGAACCCCCTCTGCCTTTCCTCGGGCCAGTCTGACTCTGCAGCAGGAAGAGAGGGACTTCACAGAGATAAAGTAGCCAGGGTGAGCCAGCCATGGGCCCTTCTCTCCCAGCAAGGCAGAGTGGGTGAAGAGGCAGGTGCTCCTTACCTTCCTTCCTGTTGAAACCCGGTACTGGCTGCTCAGCCCCTGATCCTTCCTCCTCTTGGGGCAGCACAGCCCGCCGGGCTCTCTGGGGGGCAGAAAAGAAGCTATTGAGAGACCCTGTGCTCCCCTGTGCCCCTGGAATACATGAACAATTGTTTGCTTGGGGAATTGGGGTACGGGTAGAAGCAGAGCTACTAGACTGGTTAATGAATTCTTTTCCCAAGAGCATCAACCTGAATTCCATCATGGGCATCGCAGGGTAGATTTCTAGTCAGAAATGAAAATCAGAACCACAAGGCCCAGTGCCTCCATATCCAACTTCTAGTGAAATGCCTAAAGGAATTGAACCATGGGAAAGTCTCTCCCAGAGCCGGAAACCCCAGAGGGGCACTGTTCCCATGCTTGAAATGTGAAGGCATTCTATGCACCCTGGAGTGTGGGTGCCGCTGATTTGCAGGAGGCGCTGCCCAGACCATCATTGGTTGCTTGGAAAGGAAAACTCCAACCCAAGAGTAAGAAGGAGCCCCAGGACTGACCCAAACACCCCCGCTGCAGTGGTGGGGCCCGCAGAGAAGGGCGGGCTGCCAAAGCTGTCAAGACATCCCCGAGTCTAGGGTCTCCTGAGGATAGGTCCCAGCGCAATCAAACAAAGAATGAGCAGGGAAACTGCCTGCCACCAGGCAGCCTTTCTGCCACAACGAGACCTGGAACTTAAAGAGCAGAATTATAGACCCTTCAATGTTCTCTGCTCCTTTCAAAGTACAAACGAAAACTGTCGGGGCTCCCAATCTCTCCCAGACTCATCTCAACCTGGTGGCTTGTGCACCTTCCTTGATGAACACAGAAGAAGAAAAGAAAATCATGGGATAAGTCAAATAACACAACTGCTCAGAAGAATTGTATTGAGTTAAAGAAATGTTCCCACTAATGCAGGATGATACTCAGAGAGAATAAACAGAAGCCATCAATGAAATTCAAAATGATCTGCATCAATATAACAGGAGGCAACAGTGATGGCAGTGAATGTATAAAGGCAGAAAATTATTGGGGCTGGAAAAGGTGTTGAATTTAACCACATAGTAGGGTTAAGCTGCAGTTTAGACACTATGGCAAATAAATCCACATAATAGGAATTCTACCTAGAAAGCATGCAATGGAGAAATAATAGAAGAAAACATTTCTGAATTGGAGAAATACTTGAGTTGCCCAATTATAAGGGAAAAATAAATGGGACAAAAATTAATGAAGAGTTCCTTCTTCGATATTCAAGGAATGAAGGACAAAGTGCCTGGTGGCCCTTAGAGTAAATGGCAGAAGCTCAAAAACAATATCTGAGCATTGGAAGAAGGCAAAGGTTGTCCTTCACTCATCTGAGCTGTTGACCACATGATATAACCACAGAAAGACATTCTCAGCTAGGCTAGGACCTAGAAGTTTGCCACCCACATGTCATTCTTGAAAAAATTACTAATAGAAATATTCCCACCCATTGAGAATGGAATCTGACTGTCAGAAATACCAGATATGATAACGAAGAAATATGGAAAGCTATAAAGCCAATAAAATGTAGAGTTGAAATGAATAATTGCTACAATGGATTATGGAATTTAATGTAAATTTTACAAACGATTTTTTTAAAGGTGAAAAATGACAACATCAATCTCAGAGCAGATCCATAAAAAAAAAAAACAGGACCATGGGAAACCCGAAAGGATACAAATAGAAAGTAAGAAACAGGAGGAAGAGAAATGTGGGGTATTTCTGTCTTTGGTAAGGACAGTCATTCCTTACTTACTATTTCATTCTTGACACTGATAAAGAAATAAAGATCCAGTTGGCATCTGGATTAAGATGGAAGATTGAAATTCACAAGTTTCTTCCAAGTACCTAACACTTGGGAAAAAATAATTTTAAAAAAACAGTCCCAAAATTTCCATCAATGTCACTCAAATAAGGGAAGGGGACGTGATTTAAAGTCAGAAACGTTAACATTGGCAATCAAGGAAGGAAACAAATCGTGCTGGAACTGAACATAATGGAGCTTGCAGCTCTGAACGGTGCCCTCTGACCTCCAGGGGTGGTATGTCAAAAATTTGTAATTCTCCCTAATTTTTCCAAATCCAGAGAGAAAAACATTGAGGGGTACCCAGTCGTTTTTCTTTTCTGACAGAGGAGCCATGAAAATAGGCTCAGAGAATAAACAAGTAAACATGGAAAATACAGCTCCGTTCTAAGAGAAGGAAAGGTTCTGAAGTGACACAGTCCAGGGCTCTAGGTTGAGACAGATGCACATGACACCAGCCCAACCAGGTGCAATGAGCCCTACCGAGAATATTTCGCAGTCCTTCAAAATATAAGCAGAGGAAAAAATGTTATGGAATGAATTGTGTCCCTTCCAAAAGTCACCCATTGGAGTCAATCCCTAGGACCTCAGAATGTGGCCTTATTTGGAAACAGGGTTGTACAAATGTAATTAAGATGAGATCATTAGGGTGGGCACTAGCCCAATATGAATAGGGTAGTTATAAAAGGGAAAAATTTTGACACCAAGACATCCTACATGGAGAAACTGATGTGAAGACAAAGGCAGGGAGTCGGTGAGGCACCTACCAGCCAAGGAGGAGCCCCAGAATGCCAGAAACCCACCAGGAGGTAGACGAGGTCCTCCCTGGCAGCCCTCAGAAGGAACCAGCCCTGCTGACACCTTGACCTTGGATTTCCAGCCTCCAGAAATGGAATCCAATAAATTTCAAAGTCTCCAGGGTGCTGTACCTCATTATTGCAGCCCCAGGAAACTATCAGAGCTGGTACCTGGACCAAGATGGCGCACCTCAGGGAAGGCTTCTCCCCTCCCCTACGCCGTTTCCCAGGACTTCAGAAACTTGGATGAACACAAGATACCTAGGGCTTACACTAAAGTAGGCTTAGGCTCAAGTTCAGTGGGAAGAGGACCAAGAGGTTAAAGGACACCCCACCCCACCTGATCAGAAAAAAAACCCAGAAAGCCCAGATAGAGCAAGAGCAAGATAAAGCAAGATACAACGGAAACTACCCAAATCCACCTCGGAAATGGATGAGTAGGAGAAAGAGCGCAGCCTAAGTAAGTTGAGAACGAAAACTCCATGAATTTGGATCTGCCAAATAAATTGTGAACCGAAAAGACAGCATTGAAACAGGAGAAACTAGCCGACATGGAAGACAGAGGTGCTCCATGTGAGAGAAGGGGTGCTCCCGACCAAGGGCACAGAAGAGGGGTTCCACGACATTGTGCAGGAGACCTCCTTGAAACACGGAGCACACGTCACCTGCATGTGGAGAGAACACGCTGCATGCCAGGAAGTGATTGTGTAGAATCTTTGACACCGAGGTGTGTCCCTGTTGACTTTGACAATAGAGAAAGGCTTCCCAGGCACCAGGGCAGAAGAAAACAAGTCCCCTAGAAGGAGAGAAAGTATGACCCTGGCCTCGGGTTTTCTACCACAGTCATCAGGGCAAGAGAATAAGGGAGCCACGTTCACACAGTTCTGAGGGACAGCCAGGGTGCTGTATCCCAGCAAAGTGGCCTCTGCATCCTCCAGAATGGGGTGGTTATTCTCAAACATGCAAGATTCACAGGTTCAAACCCCCAAGAACCACCTCAAGAAAGCCACTCCACAAAGAAATGGCCCCAATTAAGAGACCACTGGAAATGAGTGACTCAGGAGCCCAGGTGACTGTGGCTTCATTCACTAAAGTTGACATGTGGAATCCACTGCCCACAGAGCTGGGAGGGCCAGGTCTGCAGGCTAACCATCCCGCCCTGGGATCACCATGGGGGTGACAGTGACAATCTGGAGACGGCTGGTGTCAACCTGGACAATGCAAAAGGAAGAGGAGGAGGACATGGAACCAACGTGGAGTGGGGACGTCTAGCTAATCAGAGAAGCGGCTCTTGTGTAAAGTCGTGGACGGTGGTGCTGGCCCCGCTGATCTTTTCTTGACTTTGCCTTTCCTTAAGACGCGCATCTCTCGTAGTGAAGAGATGTTTACTTGAAGTTCAAGAAGTCCACTTCAACTCCTTTGTTTTTAAATCCAAGTAAAACTATGATTAATGTTCTTAACAACTAAAGATGACATCTGCAGCATAATCCCATTTAATAACAGTCTATCCCTGTGTCCATCTGTCCTTCCTTCTGTCACAATTTGATTTCTTTAATGATGGGAGTGCTGCTATTTTGGGGGTGGTGGGATTTAAATAAAAACTAATCTATCTTGATATTTTTCTGTATGGATTTCTTCATAATGAGCATATGTGACTCTTATAAGATCAATGGTACTTTTTCTTAAAAACATAGGAGCAATTATGTACTATGTACTATACTTTAAATCTTTTTTTTTTTTTTTTTTTTGTACTGGGCATTGAATCCGGGGACTCTTAACCACTGAGTTCTTTTTATTTTTTATTTTGAGACCAGGTCTCAGTAATTTGCTTAGGGCCTCGCTAAATTGCTGAGGCTGGCCTTGAGCTTAAGATCCTCCTGTCTTGGCTCCCAGGTGTGCGCCACCGTCCCCAGTGGGATAAGGACATTCTTATCTCATTTTTTTTTTTCAATTTTCA